CTTTCCCCCTCATATTTCACTATAACATCTTTTTAGTGGTTCTTGAGAGTAATTACGCCTCCCGAGTATAGGATCATAGCTTGAAAAAGTTTGGGAACCCCTGCTGTGAACAGTCCCAGTTCAGCAGTTATTTCAACGAGATTTCCTTCACCCACTCGGTTCCCAGACAAAGCTCCAGGGAGGCTGTCCCTGCAGTTAGTGTACTGTAACTGTAAATCACTTCAGATAAAAAGCACCTGCTAAATGACAATGAATCAATATTTCCACAAGGTCCTGATTTTGAGGGAAATAAACGCTCTGCCCAAAACACTTTCAGATCTTTACCCTGTGGATTAACGTCGCTGGAAAATGGATGTTGGCTAATGATTACCAAGATGGGGTTCATCTTCCCCATATATTTCACTCTTGACTGATGGTGAAGGAGGATGAGTTTAGACTAAAGGTTTGCCAGCGGTGCCTATCTGCCTGCCAAATAAGCAAAATAAGAAACAAACGGGAACAACATGTCACCAACTGAACCCCAGTCATAAATCTCAGCCTCTCTCATATTTTAAAGTGGCTTCAGTTACACCATCACACAACACAACCATCCCCCATGGGTTTGTTTGCCAGGTTTGTCCTTCTGTTCTGACTTTTTCGCCACCAAAAGCATGGTCGATTTGAGCTTCAGCCCGCTAACATGATGGTCATGTTGCGATCTTTTCAGACCCATGGCATTAGAAGGATTGTTCTAGAAATAATAACCCATTACCCATCTCTGTGCGGGCTGGGGCGAGCAGGAGCCATGCATCTCCACTCTTCCACACCACAGAATGATGGGATGAGGAATGGGGTGGAGGGAAATCACTCTGGCAGATGTAACGACTCTGTAAAGAGCAGACATGACAACTGCTAATCAGCGCAGCGAGCCCTAATCAGCGAAAGGAGCGCGAAGGTTACGTTTAGAAACGCACACACATACACACAAACTCATCAAAAATCGCTCATAATCAGCTTCTCATCACGCTAATACCAAAGCTGCACACTCATCCGTACTGAACTGCAAATAATTTGTTGCTGTATTTCCAAAACATTATGTAGCTAAGCAAATCAAGCAGAAGGCAACAGCTCTAACAAAAGTCTGCGCAAATGATTTCCTTCCCGTGCTGTCTTGTAACCTGGCCTTTGGATGCATGGATACGGTTGCTAGGCGCTGCCTAAAAGTGTCGCTAACGCTGCTTCGCACTATTGTTGCCATGGCAACCTGAAATGCCTCCGTCTCTCTCCGCTCTCTGCCATCACAATAAGGCAACGAGGTTTGTGGCATTGTAATGGAAAGATGAGAGCACAATATATATCATCCAACAATAGTGGTTCGAGGTGGTGAGGGTCAAGTGGTGTTTTTTACCACAAAATTGAGATCAGTGGAACAGTTCAGCGAGGCCCGACAACCTGAGAGGTAGACGGATGATGTGCCAATCAGGAGGTTAAGAGTGAGGATGATACTGCAGCTGACCAAGAGTGACCACAAGAGAAATTTCATCAGTACATTTGGGAATTGAACTCTGAGGTGATTTCACTCGTTCAATTTCATATCTGCACTTAATTTTACATCCTAACGTTCACCTTCTCATTGACCCATGAAAAAAAATGGATACTTTCTACATCTATCCCACGACCCTTACAAAAATTAACCATGGTTATACTCCAAAAAAAGGTTATAGTTAAACCACGGTAACCACAAAAATACCATGGGTTTGCTACACTAACCTTAGTTTAACCATGGTATTTGTAGTAAAACTGCACTGAAAAAAGAAACCTGTTGGATTAACATAAAAAAAAATATGTACATCGGTTGCACATATTAAAGTTAAATTTACTCAACATGATTTTTATATGTTAAAGCTACACAATTTATGTTTGTTAAATGAACATGATTTAAATGTTAAAGCTATATAATTTGTTTGTTAAATGAACATGATTTATATATGTTAAAGCTACACAATTTATGTTTGTTAAATGAACATGATTTAAATGTTAAAGCTATATAATTTGTTTGTTAAATGAACATGATTTATATATGTTAAAGCTTCAGTTTGTTTGTTAAATGAACATGATTTATTTAACCACTCAGGTCCTTTTAACTAATCAAATTTGACCAGGAAAAAAAAAAAACTATACACATCAAACAACCACAAAATAAACAGTGGCCAACCTACTCTATAAACAGTTGACTCCGTATGTGCGGTATAAGTTTTCTTTGTGAGTGTGAAATAAAAAAAGAAACACAGTGGTCCTTATTCCAAGAGGAAGTATCTGCCGTACCATGGAAACAGCTCACTCATAGAGTCCATTTCTAAGAACTTGAGCTTTCTTTGATAGAGTGCAGCCTTCCAGCTCCATGACTTCTTTCTGCAGTACCTCAAAGGTATATTTAATTTCAGGTGGGTAGTTGAGATTTAAAGCATACATTAGACCAAAAAGCATTGCCGTAGCTAATGCAAAGTTGTCCAAGCCTTGCAAGAAGTTCTGGCCTTCAAGGACAATCCCGATGTCCTGAGATCCGTCATGAAATTTAAGGACGTAGATTCCCACTGTGGTGGTCTCATTGGATTTTTGGATGAAAGCTTCGTCAGCAGTCTGCAGAATGCAGACAAAATTAGATTTATCAGAACATTGGGCACTTCTCTGGGAATATTATAAAACATGTAATTTCAATCAATAATGTAGATCTAATGAAAAATGTGAACTTGTATATAATGAGAACAAGACAAGGCCAAGAAAATCACGTGACGCGGGGTAAATTTAGTTCCGCTATGCTCTTTTCTCAAATATCCCTTCTTACCTTTTCTGTTTTGTCCGTTTTCCTATTTGCTGTTGTATAATCTACAAATAAATTATTTTCTACTTGTTTGTAGCTTATACAGCCACTCAGAACGTTGCTCGAATTTACTGGCAGGTGGTTTTATTTCACCAGCTGTCATACAGTATAGGCTCATGAAATTTAAGGACGTAGATTCCCACTGTGGTGGTCTCGTTGGATTTTTGGATGAAAGCTTCGTCAGCAGTCTGCAGAATGCAGACAAAATTAGATTTAACAGAACATTGGGCACTTCTCTGGGAATATTATAAAACATGTAATTTCAATCAATAATGTAGATCTAATGAAAAATGTGAACTTGTATATAATGAGAACAAGACAAGGCCAAGAAAATCACGTGACGCGGGGTAAATTTAGTTCCGCTATGCTCTTTTCTCAAATATCCCTTCTTACCTTTTCTGTTTTGTCCGTTTTCCTATTTGCTGTTGTATAATCTACAAATAAATTATTTTCTACTTGTTTGTAGCTTATACAGCCACTCAGAACGTTGCTCGAATTTACTGGCAGGTGGTTTTATTTCACCAGCTGTCATACAGTATAGGCTACAGCTACTCATTCAACAAATCCCCTGCTCGCTTTTTTTTTAAATGTAAAACCATATTAGAGGATATTAGAGGTAGAAGACATTATAAGACTACGCCAATAAAAAAAATAAATAATATTAATAATATAAAGAAACAAATATACTAATATTAATGAAAATACACTATTCTTAAAAAGGTTATTTATCACACTATTGAGGTCCTATATAGCACTTTCAAAGCATGGTTCTTTATGGAACATTATAAAAAGGGTTCTATTTAGCACCAAAAAGTGTTCCGAAGAACCCTAATTTGGTACTGTTTAGAACCATTTCATGTGGGTTTTTTACACTGCAAAACAAGAAATGCCACAAATATCACCGCAAATTTTGAGAAAAGATGCTGCAATTTCAGTCATTTTAGGCCAGAAATAAGAAAAAAAGGTCCCGCAAAATCCTGGAGGGACTGATCAATAATCTAAGTAGCGGGTGTTTTTTTTTTAATGCAATTATTTTTTTATGAAAGACATATCTAAATTAATGAACCTTTATAATTGTACTTACCACATACTCTTTCACTAAATTGTCTGGATCCTCGTTGAGGTATATGCAGAGCCCCTTGATAATACATTCGCGTCTAGGGCTGCACGATAAATCGCATGCGATATTTAACGCACATCTTATCAGTAAAGCCGGTTCTGTAATCAGCGGCAAATCTCCATCACCTGCGTGCTTTCACATTGAGCAGCATTAACTACGCAGAGCCGTTGTTCACTGACGAGTTGCGCAAAACCACGTCCATATTCGCGCGATTTTTTGCGCAACTCGTCAGTGAACAACGGCTCTGTGTAGTTAATGCTGCTCAATGTGAAAGCCCGCAGGTGATGGAGATTTACCGCTGATTACAGAACCGGCTTTCTGACAAGATTCGCGTTAAATATCGCATGCGATTTATCGTTCAGCCCTATTCTCGTCCAATATCGACATCATCGTCCTGGCCAAGGGTGACAAGCAGAGCGGAGTTTTTTTTTATTTTTTATAAATTTTTCCCCCCACTGATCTATATAAATGACTGGATTGCTCATGGAATCCTAAACTCCTAACATTTAGGATGCTTTTGATATAAAGTTTTGCTGGTTAGCTTTGTCCTTGACAGTGTACAAGACGACCTACAATCTAAAACATGACATTTCTGAAACTGTTTTGTTCAAAAGAAATAATGGATAATTAAATACTAGGAATTAAAAAAAAAAAAAATCACAATGTCAGCTTTTTCCAATATCGTGCAGCCCTATTTCTTGCAGTATTGCAATATATTGTATCATAACCCCTGTATTGTGATATGTATCGTATTGCCAGATTCTTGGCAATTCACAGCCCTATTTCATTATAAGAAACCTCAAGGAACAGAATAATCAAATATCCATGGCATGACCCCTTTAAACAACCAAAAACTAAGGTAAAATGACACAAGTATAAATAAGTAGGATTAAAGGGGTCATATGATGCTTTTTTAAAGATCATTATTTTGTGTATTTGGTGTAACAGAATATGTTGACATGCTTTAATGTTCAAAAAACACATTATTTTTCTAATACTGTGCAGTTTACAAAAGCTTTGAGCAGAAAAACATCACGTAAATGCAACCACCTAAAAAAAAAAAAAAACACCTTTGAATAATACTTCTATTACATATATTTTACTTATAAATGCTAAACCTTCAATTAATTTCATTAACCAAATAACTTAATTTCGCCGTGTATAGCCTGTCTATACAGATACAGCACATACAAATGCAAAAAACTAAAATCAAGTTAGAAATAAATTAAATAAAAGATTGGAATACTCACCACTTCTACTTAACAGCCAGCATACAAAGCAAAACAGATGTCAAACTGGAGGAACAAGGTGATAAAAGACAAGACATTAAAAACAAGCCATTTACTAGCTTTTTTTAACAGCAAAACTAAACGTAAACCAAGACAGTGGACTATAACACTATGAATGGAAGAAAAGTGCAACACGCAATATGGCGGAATATTTCCGCCTTCTATCTAAAAGGCCAATCATCGCGTTACTGCAGCTGAAGCTAGAGGCTCCGGTTGCCATAGAAACAGTGTCCCGAGTTGCGCGCTTTTTCCGTATTGGCTGGGCCGACCTGAAGCTTTTTATAACGCCATTTGAGCAAATGATACAACATCTATAAGACAATTCATGTAAGATTTTGTTGCGGATTTGAAATATGTTATTTAAATGTGAGTGTGGCAAGCATTTTATGAGATTTTAAAGGGGTCATATGATGCGATTTCAAGAGAAATCCTTTCTCTTTGGAGTGTTACAAGCTGTTCGTGAATAGATAAGATCCCTGAAGTTGCAAAGACTAAAGTCTCAAAACCAAAGAGATATTCTTTATCAAAGTTAAGACTCTGCCACACACCCCTAAAACGGCTCGTTCTAACACGCCCCCACATATCTACCTCACTATGTGGAAATATTTGCATAATGCGCCCAAATGTGCACGCAAAGAAAGAAGGCGTGGTTTCAGTAACCGCAGTTAGTGTTGAAGCAGCCATGTCAGGGAGACGCTGTGTGTTTCTAGGCGAAAGCAAAAGCACTTTATTTGGCCTTCCGAAAGTAGACGCATTTAGGAATCTTTAAGATTACTTACAACAGAACAGCAATGCATTTTATGGACGACCGTTTCACGAATCTAGGAGAGGAGGTAATTCTGACTTTGCTATCAGGCAATCTGGCGCTTCTGAATCAGCTACTG